CGTTTCTGTACCAGAACATTGATTCCCATGTTTTAGTTTCCCACTTGATCTCGAAATTTTTGTTGACCGCGATCCTTCCAAAGGAGCTGATCTGGTCGACTTCAATTCGAATGTGTTCATCTGTAACTTGGAGGTATGTTTCATCTTTTTTTCTGGCTTCTAGCTCAGCTAAGAGAATTACCGTGCCTGTTTTAGGTGATTTCTGTCAAACAGGGAGTTCCGCTGAGAGGGTACATTGCCAGATCTGCTTCAACAAATCATAGTTGGCCATGTGGTCGAGATGCTCACCGTAAACCACAGAAGTCTACGGAAACTATTTATATACCTGTTAGTTGTATTCCACTCATTTTGAGCTGCGAAATAGTATGGTAGCGTTTCTCTTTCAAACCAATTTTTTTCTAGGAAAATGACAATGCTGCGAAGGACTGGATAAATCCCCTGAAATTCCGTTTCACCGTGCGGATAATGAATGAACGGAAACCTTTCCATCCGGCTGAAGGACGTCCAGTTGTTGATTTGAAGCAATATCCAATTCTCAACAAGTACGGTGCCAGTTACGAGTTTGAGGTGAGCACTATTCATTTTGATCATCACTGCGAATGAGCGAGGGCGCCGAATTGGCTCTTTTTCTTAGCCTTTTAAATTGGCAAGGTCGTTGTTGGTTTTTTACGAGCACAGTCCAACATCGACATATTCAGATACCTTTTAATACGAGATGTGGTGAAGACCAAGTGTGCCAGACTGACCTAGTACTGAAAGCAGTATTTGTCGACATACCAAAGTAGGTGGTTTTCTGTCTAGCTTCTGTTTACTATGTAGCCAGTTTAGTGAGTTCTACGTGTCTGCATCTTCCTCAACAAATGGAGGATCTAATAATCTTGAAAGGGGCATTCAGAGAGAGCTTTTTGTTCTGAGCTAAATTACCGTAATGTATATGTGTAAGGACTAGCCTTGAACTAAAAGGGAAAGAAGTGGTGAGGTGAATTAACTCAGTGCACGGTAATTCTGTTCAGGTGACGGTAGTCCCTGTTTTACAGAAGCATCATTTCTATAAATGCTTCCTTCAAAGTTATTGCTCAAAATTATTGCTGCCTAAATGAAATGCTTCAGCTGAGTATTTAGAACCGAGAAAGGATACGTGTCGAATGTGGGCGATAAGGATTATCTAGACATTACGTTCACGGTTGAAAATCGTAAAGAAAAGGCGTATCAAGCAGCGCTGTTTCTCACCTACGATCCAGAAGAACTCGAACTTCCTATGGTTGTCGGTAAGTTTGTGCCATTGCTGATCTTCTGTAGCTCACGTACTCTTCAAATAATGGGCTTTTTAGGAGGAGCAAAACTTGGCTGGGAGACAGTTGGCAAAAATGTTGTTGTGGTTCACCTGGGAAATCCAATGGATTCCAGTTCGAAGGTATGATAAAATAGAATAGAACCTTCCTTACAATTGATGTAGCTTCTCAGTAAAGACACTTCAGCACTCATTCGATCTTCGCTTCAAG